AATGGTCGCGTTTACGTGTTTTATATTGTGTGAATATTGAATAAGTGCAAAATGAAATGTTGAATTGGGAAGCGTTACATGCAACGTAGGTCAAGTAATGATAGAGGGCACCAATGGTCACGTTTACGCAAAAACATGCGTATATTACGCATCAATATTACATTGTATGCAAAAAAATAAACACAGTACGTACTATGTACGCAAAAATACAACAATTTAATTTACTCTCACTAACCCCCTGATAGTGATCATTCGCTGACGCCGTACTAAAACGGGGCCATTCCAACACCGATTAACAAACACGTTGAATGTACAAATTCAGTAACACATGTACGTGACTAACACACATTCCACTCTCACAAGGCCACTGAGAAATTGACAACTTTTTTTTTTCTCTGAACTATAAATTTAAGCCAATTGGTAACGCCAAAAATCGTGTCATCCACCCGTCATTTTGACGCGATGGCTGATAACCATGCGCGAATAGAGCACATGGTAGTGACAACATGGAGAAGCCTATTTTTTCATATTTTTCAAGTTTTGTCACCACGAAAAGAGCAAGATCAACATTCTCAGCAGATGATCACAAAAACAAAAGTGACTCCGATGTTGCTGAATTACCGCCAATGCCCAAGCCTTCGACAGACTCTGGACACACGCACCCCGATGTCACGGATATTACAGAAAAGGGTGTTCTTTGCAGCAAGAAAGCCAAGTTTGTTCGTCAGAAAACGTATCAGTTAGCCTGGGAAGCAGAGTATAAATGGCTACGTCCGGAAAAAACGGGAATGCGAAGATAAAACTGTCATGTTCTGCCGACTGTGTGAGAAACGAGGAGAAAATAATGCCTTCACAAAAGAATGCAGAGATTTACAGAAATCGCCATTGAAACGACATATGGACAGTCCCGGACACAGGAAAGCTGTAATGAATGACAATAGTAGTCAAATACTTGGAGCTGCAGTTGAAGCTAATAAAATCCAGTCCGACACAACGCGGAAAGCTGTTTTTTGCACGGTGTATTTTTTATCCAAACAAGAATTACCGAATGATGTTTATGGAGGGCTTATCGACTTACAGCGTGTGAACGGCTGCCAAGCTTTTAATTCTAAAGATACTGCAATCCCAATACACCATTCGAATGTGACAGAAATGCAGGAAACTATTGCCGAGACAATAAGAGAGGAGGATGTAAAAGAAAAATTGCAGAAAGTTCCTTCATTGGAATACTTGTGGACGAAATTGTTAATGTGACAATTTATAAGAAATTAATTGTATTTTTCCGAGTGTTGAATGAGGACGGGAGAGCTGAAACTATTTTTGGTGGTAACTATACTGTTCAAAGTGGTGATGCTGAAACAATTTTTAATAAAATGCAAGAAGTAATAGATGAAAAGGGAGACAACCTGTTCAGCAAATTGGTCGGACTTGGGTCTGACGGCGCCAGTGTCATGATGGGAAGACACAGCGGTGTTGTTGTACGTTTAAAAGAGACCTTGCCATTCTGCATTCATGTACATTGTGTTGCGCACCGTATAGCCCTGGCATCGTCAAATGCTGCAAAGAAAACCGCCAAAGTCAAAGAATTTAGAGACACCGCCAATTGTATATTCCATTTTTTTCAACATTCCGCTGCCCGGTATGGCAGACTACGTGATGAAGACTTTTCAAGTCTCAAGGAGTCCTGCAGTGTACGATGGCTTTCATTGTCACGATCTGTTGCTAGTTTGGACAAAAACTGGGTGGTTTTATATCTTGAGCTTGGAGAGGAAGCAGCAAGAAATAATCCCAAAGCAGAAGGACTATTGCAAGCGATAAAATCATTTTCTTTCGTTGCCACGATGAAAATGCTTCGTGACGTACTACCAATTGTTGACAGACTAAACCTAATTTTTCAGCGAGACAATGTTAAATTGGAAACTATTCGTCCGATGGTTGAATCCACAGTTCGGGAACTTGAAAGACTCTGTGACACCGATTTTTGTGGTGATAGTGAAAATGAATTCATAACTAATTTTAATTGGGAAACATCGGAGTACAAGGGAAACAGTCTTGTCTACAGTGCTGATGTAAATATTAACGCACATAATGACAAGCGTGCACAATTCATTCGGCATTTAATAGACAATTTACACAGAAAGAGAAAGACCTGTCACTGTTAGCAAGTCTGGACACAGTGCTCAATGCAAGCAAGTATCCAAGAGATGACAGATTTATTGGTGAACATGGAAATGAAGCGTTAAATGTGCTTGCTGATTTTTTTGCCCGCAATGCAGAGGATGGTTTGATCGACGCCGCTACATTTCGCCGTTACATCCACCAAATGAAATTGACATTACGAGGACATGGTCACCCAAACTTTGCAGGTTATTAATCAAAGACTACAGTGAAATATACCCAGCATTTGCTTCACTAGCAGCAATTTGTAATTCCAGTAACAAGCGTACCATGTGAGCGTGGTTTTTCCACGCAAAATCGAATAAAATGTGCTAGACGATCTCGTGAAGTGAATGTTGACAATCTCATGGTGATTTTGATGCATGACCCATACTTTAATACTAACTGTGGCTTGAAATACTTATTTTGCAACATTGTATAAAAAACGTACTAAAACTAAACATGCGTCGTGTGTAAGTGGGTGTACGCGTTGATGATCTGTAGAAACACATTTGTTTGTGACTGCCACGTTCGATATACGCAACTTGTAGAAATCTAGCGCGATCACTGGGGCACTGTATTTGATTTTTGTGAATAATGAACTAGAATGGAATTAAGTGTTGAAATGGGAAGTATTACATTCGAGGTAAGCAGTGTGTGATGATAGAGGGCACTGTATTGGACTATTGTGAATAATGAAAACAAATGGAGTGTTGAAGTTGTTTTTTCATTGACTTTTAGGAGGTCACTACCCGGTACATATACCGATATTGGATATATTCTTCAACCGCTTCAATTTAACAGATTTTCATGAAATTTACAAAATTTTGCATGAAAGCAGTGGAAATTAAGCAGTTATTAAAGCAATTGATGCCATTATTCTGAATATAAATTGTGTATGCATCAATGAAATGCCATATAGAGTAACCAGAAATACAAGCTGGTACACATGAAGGCTGATTGGTGATTCGCTACATGGAAAAAAAAAACATATTTTTGGCTGTTGTCATGGTAGGACATGAAGATGAAGCTAACGTTGGTTTATAACTGAAACAAGGCCCCATTCATGCTTCAGCAGTTACTTCACTTTATTACTAGTGTCTTTTGCTGTCATCATTATTACCGGTATATTCATGCAAGTTGATCTTTTAACCCAGATTTTGATGACGAACCTTTTATTTCCGACCGTTTTTTAAGGTTGTATTTTCTAGATTCTTTGATTGAATGCAGCATTTAAAGTTCATTCAAAGTTCAAAGTTCAAAGAGGACTTAAATTGATACAGTGTAACAATGTAAGCCAAAATAAAAAGCATGATCATTTGAACACTGCTATTACAAGACTGGTAGGAGGTGATATATTTGACACAAAGCTATTCAAAAAAATGTTTTTTTTTTTTGCTATTGCCATGGCTCGGTGGGCCAGGAATTTTTTCCCGATTTTACTACCCAACTAGAGTAACAGTATGACCTGCCTACAAAGTTTGAGCGAAATTGGCCCAGCCAAAAAATCACAGAAGAATTAATATGTGAAGAAGACACAGAAAATCACACGCACAGACACACACACACACACACACACACACACACATACAGGTGTCCCATGAATTGTGGAGCCACCATTGAATTAACTTTTAATATAGTTGAATTAACTTTTAATATAGTTGCGATATGAACTCGATTAAAACGCGTTCCTATATAGGGTTGCGTTTTAATTGGAGTTTAATTAAACTCAATTACAATACAATACAATGGAGAATTGCACTTTAATTAAGTTTAATTAAACTAGAGTTGAATATCCCGTGACTG